AGTTGTGTTTGTTTAACATACGGGACGACCCGTGCGAATACCATAACCTGATTGGGGAAACGGATCCCCAATTCGTGCGATTCTTGTGGCAGAAATTGGTTCACTTTAACGAGACATCTGTATACCCGTTAACACTCGCACCGTTGGATGATAGGGCTAGCCCTCAGCTACATAATAACACGTGGAATAATTGGTTGGACATGGATGTCAGCAATTATGCTAAAGACAGGAGTGAACTTTAAATATTAGTTTTATTGAAATCTATTATTGTATTTAATTGTTCACATAAAATATTGTAAACAGGGAGAATTATTCAATTTAATTGTGTAGAAATAAGCGATAATTTATAATTAATAATAAGAAATGATAATTAAATGCTAAACACTATTAATTGAAATAAAGTCTTTCCCAGAATTGTCACAAAAATAGTAATTTGAATACAAATAAAGTGCTTATACTCTGAATAATAAATTGTTTTCATTATATAAAAAGTAAATGAAAAATAACCCCGATAATTTATGTTTTAAATGCAATTCGTATTAACAGTTGCCTTTAAGTCTTGAAATGCTTGACTACCTGTTTGTGTAAATTAGATCAATGAATATGTCATAAATAGTGGACAATAGTATTGATACCTACGGTGTGGTACTGGCCGTCGGTTCAGTGTCTGTGTTGCCGACCAGTTGTCGGATGCCTTCCAGTGTTTTCAACGTCTTTTCCTTCTCACCACTCATTAAACTATTAGTCTTTTGGCTCTCATTTAGGATTTGTGTCAAAATATCTGTCATTCTCGTCATCGAATTCTGTGATCCCTTTCCATCACTACTGCCTTCTTCTGAACCACTATTAAATGCAATCAATAAATAAATATTAATATTCTGTGAAACAAAACGAATGTTTGTTTTAATTAAGTTTCACTTTATTTCAAAATATAAGTTCCGTTTTCATGACACAGATATGAATTATACGGCAATCAATGATTGACACAAACCTTATGTCCAATTGATTTAACTTTTGTCTCAACTTCTGGTTCTCGCAAACGATACGATCATAGGATGCCTTCAACGCCGACAACTCTTTCCTCAAATCATTCATCTCTTTCGATAGGCCATCGATTTGATCACTTCCGGGATCTGCTTTACTCGCAATAATAATCTCATCATTATATGCGATATTACTAATGGCATATTCATCGGATTTAGGTCCAACCACTAAATATATACGATTAAGTGATTTTAAACTAACATGCTGAATGTAAATCATTTTGTCGGTGTCCTCGCAATAGATGCCAATAAGAAAGCGCTTCAAGTCTTTGATTGTCTTAACCTCAGCGGTGTCCACATTTATTACTAGTTTATAGCCAGACTTTAAAACAATATTTAATTTTTTAGACATCTTATTGCTTATCCACTTATGCTCATACAAATAATATAATCAATTATTAAATACAAAATTAGGCACAATGAATATTAGGTGTAATTTAATAATGTTATAAGATATAAGTTACTTGAAATGTGATTCACAACACAATAGTCAATCATCGCATATACCATAACTGCTAGGCTGCTGTGTAATCAATGTGTAAAAAGCAAACAAAAAATAACCCCGATAATTAGTGTTTTAAATGTAATGCCATGTAATAAATAAAATTAAAATGCTATTAACTTCAAGCAATAATAAGCATTTTGTGTTATATAACATTAATCAAATAACTTAGTTTACAAGGTTAATTGCTTTTTACATTCTTGATGCTATTCTTGAATGTGACTTTCAAATGTTTAAAAGTTGAAAACTAAACATTCAAATGTGTTTCAATGCAAATATGATTTAGTTTTTGTCAAAAATATTTAGTAAAACATGTAACTTTGAATAATAGTTTTATTGAAATCTATTTATTGTATTTAATTGTTCACGTAAAATATTTTAAACAGGGAGAATTATTATACAACTTAATAGTGTAGAAATTCGCGATAATTTATAATTAATAATAAGAAATGATAATTAAATGCTAAACACTATTAATTGAAATAAAGTCTTTCCCAGAATTGTCACAAAAAATAGTAATTTGAATACAAATAAAGTGTTTATACTCTGAATAAATTGTTTTCAGTATGTAATCAATGTGTAAAAAGCAAACAAAAAATAACCCCGATAATTAATGTTTTAAATATAATCCGCCATTAAGTCTTGAAATGCTTGACTACCTGTTTGTATGAATCAAATCACTGAATATGTCATAAATAGTGAGCAATAGTATTGATACATACGTAGCGGTACTGGCCGTCGATTCAGTGCCTGTATTACCGACCAATTGTCGGATGCCTTCCAGTGTTTTCAACGCCTTATCCCTCTCTGTATTCATACCACTCATCAAAGTGTTGGTCTTTTGGCTCTCATTTAGGATTTGTGTCAAAATATCTGTCATTCTATTCATCGGATTCTGTGATCCCTTCCCAACACTACTGCCTTCCTCTGAACCACTGTTTCATGCGATACACGTAAACATTAATATAATTTTCGAAATATCTTAACAAAACGAGTATTTTAAAAATCATTTTATAAATATTTTATCAATTAAGTTGCCTTTTTTGAATTATTCAAATATAGGTTATCCGGTATATTGCTTAGTTTTCCTCCATTTTGTGGCCCACTCATTGACCCACTATTACAGGGTAGTTTACCTAACAATTAGCTAACTACTTATGTAACTTATTATACTTAACATGTATTGCAGTGATGCCAATCCAGTAGTGCAGTGAAACAAACCAACACATAGAGTAAATAATTTAGGTTAGGTTTGGGGGCTTTTCTGTAAGTGTGGACCAAGGGCTACGAAATAAGGGCCGGTTTAGCCTATATCCCGATTGACTTATACGGCAATAACTTGATTATAATTGCCACAAACCTTATGTCCAATTGATTCAAATTCTCTCTCAACTCCTGGTTCTCGCAAACAATCCTATCATAGGATGCCTTCAACGCCGACAACTCCACCTTCAAGTCATTTATCTCTTTCGATAGACTTTCCTTATAATCACTTTTGGGCTCCGGTTTATTGACTATTAAAATCTCGTCCTTTGCGCCGATACTGCTAACCTGGTACTCATTATTACCAGGTCCATCCATCAAGAATAAACTATGCACATTTTGACCATGGGCATATTTCTGTTGGTTGTACACAATTTTGTCGCTCTCATCGCAATAGATGCCGCGCGCCTGGAGGTAAGCCTTCAAATCATGGATAGTCTTGACCGCATCCGTGTCCACATTGATTGCAATTTTATAGCCACACTTTAACACCACGCTCAGTTTGTGTGACATTTTTTATAGTTGATACATTGATACTTTCATGTAATTCATGAGTTACAATACTATGAAATACAATAGCATTTAGAGTGAATTTATCATAAGGTTTATAATACTATAATATTATTAAATGATATTAGTTTTATGAATACAATTGAAATACTATTCACTTTTACAGTATGTTTCACTTTAAGAAATGATAGCTTTGCAGACATTAGCAAATATTTTGTGTTGTATAACATTAATCACAAAGTTTACAAGGTTAATTGCTTTTTACATTCTGTATATTATTCTTGATTCCCAGTCTTTCAAATGTATAAAACTAGAAAAATACACATTTAAACCCCTTTCAAATGTGTTTCAATGCAAATATAATTTATAATAGTTTTAGTCCAAAATTATTGTCTGTGTTTTGACTAAATGTTTGTAGACTTATGCAGAGTTATTTGTTTTGTTAAATTTTATTTTATAATTTATAGCAATATAAAGTACCAATAAATGTCAATTATACACTAAATATAAATTAGACTAAGTAATTTAAGTAATTAAGTGTTAAAATAATTTTTTAAATAGACATTATAAAAATATCGTATTTATGTAAAATAATATATACCATAATATTTATATTATATAATTATATAAAGTACTTATTTTATAACATTACGTTCAAAACAATACTCAATGCATTCAATAAAGATTAATAATAATAATTTTTGTTTTAATTAAGTTGACTACAAAGTTATAATCTAGTAATAATTAATAGTGTGTTTAACATATGAGAGTTATTATATATATGAAATACTGCTAATTAAATCAAAGTTTTTATAAGTAATATTCATAAGTAATACAGTGGGCTTACAATGGAAATACTGATTGGTTAAGCATTGCATTTAAAGGCGCGTTACATTTAAAACATTAATTATCGGGGTTATTTTTTGTTTGCTTTTTACACATTGATTACACAGCAGCCTAGCAGTTATACCGAAGCAGTTATGGTATATGAGATGATTGACTATTGCAGCGTTCCTGAACTCAAAAAAAGATTACGCTTATAATATTTGTCGTACCAACTTTGATTTTTAGTGTATTGTAGTTTAAGTATTATAAAAATATTTCACAAAAATTATTGAAAACTCCAACCAAACGACCGCTTAACGAAAATCGAGTCTATCGGTGCGGTTGTGGAGGCCTTGCATTCAAAACAAATGCTGGAAAACAGTATTATTATATTTATGAGCGATAACGGGGGCTTTCATCATAGTTTTGGTAACCAATAGATTAATAAATTAAGGCAAATTATCATGGTATATTTTAGGTAATGGTGGTTCTAATTGGCCTTTGAGGGGCGGTAAATTTGAGCTATTTGAGGGAGGTACAATCCATATTAATGTATAATTTATCATAGGTTATATAGTTATTTTGTAGTTAGTATGATAGGTATTTTAATTAATTATTAGAATTATAGGTTTATTAAAAGTAAACAATTATAAATTAATTTTATCATATTACAAAACCAAGGTATCAGGGTACCGGCGTTCATATGGAGTCCATTGTTGAACAAAAGTGGTTACGTTTCGGACGCCATGATTCATGTGACAGATCTCTTACCCACGGTATTAGATGTAATCAACGGCACCGGGATGTTGTATGATCAGCGTGTGCCAATATATGGTATGAGTATGATTTTTTAACTATAAAAACTACATTAATAACTGATTTCAAGGCAAATCTCAATGGAAAACACTGTCCAACAATGACCTCCCGGTGCGAACTGAGATCATCCATAACGTGGACCCCGTTTGGAATATATCTGCCATTCGGTGGTACGACTGGAAACTCATTCAAAACTTTACGTTTTATGAGTACCAATATGTCCCTGAAGAAGTCCTCACGAGGTGGCCACCACTCGGCTCCTACAGCTCACCATTCAATACAAACAACCAATCGTTTCAATCCTTACAGTCTAAGGATCGCTTGAATAGTAAATCATATCAAGTGTTGCGGCAAATGAATAGACGACCCGATTATGAGGTGCTTAAGGGGTCTGTCGTTGAGTGCGG